ACTTTTAGACAAAAACACACACAAAAGGTCAGGAGCCATGCAGATCATAAAGCCACAATCCGATCATGCAGCAAAAAACCCTCGCAGTGATCTCACACACACCCCTTTCAACTCTGTCCTTCGCCTGACGTCCACTGAGAACGTCAATCTTGACGTGGATATATTGGGTGGTCTTGCAGGGATTAAGGTCAACATGCTAGACAAGACAGAAAAAAGTAATAACCAATCAGACTCCACTGATTGAAAGATAGATGGGGGGAAAGGACAGCATTCTCCTTTTGTATTATATCACCTTTGAGACGCAGGAAAGAGATGATGGATGTGCAATGGGAGAGTGAAAGCTCTGTCAGGGCACATGTGGCTCCATATGCTGGTCTTAATCACAGGGCGGGGACTTCATCTTTGACATCATAATGTCGGGCAAGTCACAGAAGAGAAGTGAATTACAGCTGCAAAGACACCACGGACGACCACCAGAGAATAAAATGTGTGCAAATCAAAAAGAAAAACATTGTCATGCAGAATTGAAAGGAACAAAAAGCGAAATATAAAATTCACCGTCTTCTTGTTTTGCTCCACAGACCTCTCTCTCTCTTTTGTTTGTTTTGCTTCAAATGGAGAATTAGTCCATCTCCTTTAATTTATTCAAGCTACTGTATATTCTTTCCTCTTGAAGTTAAATAAAGGCATTTTCCCCCAAAACCATTGGATTTGCTGGTTTTTACAAACTGTTGAACAATGAGGAATAAAAAGAATCATTGGAGGGATCTATTTTCAGCCGAGTATTCTCCAGCAGCAATGGCTTCACATGAACTGCATGGAAAAGCATGTCGCCCAGTGCAAGAGTGTTTGGATATTAATAAGCTGTATCAGTCTTTAGCTGCATGGACAATAGTTGTTTTCTTGTCTTTCATTAAATTTGTTGAAATAAAAAACATAATAATCCTGCTACTTTCATTATAGAGGAAATTACCAAAAACAATGCATCATATTCCATTTGGCTTTGGAAGATTACTGACTTTTGTAAGAGGGGATGGGAAAGCCATTATCATTTTCTCCTCCCTTTATTGCCCCTAAATTAGTTTTTAAAATCTTCTTCTCCTTTAACAAGTGCAGTCACTTGTTCCTTTTTTCCACCACACAAACCAAAATGGTTTCCTTTGGAATCTCCCCTTCAAATCGCAGATGCCGTGACCTGAACATCAACTTAGCGAATCTGGGGCAGCGGGCATTTCTTGTGAGGGAAAAAAAATAATCACACAACAAAGATTCTCTGTGAAATACAAGTAAGCACTGCGGCTTAAACAGATTAAAAATGTAATTGAACTTATTATGAAAAGAGCTGAGTCAAAAGTGGAGCATGATATGTACAATTGTGGGTTCCTGAATTTGTGTGTTGCAGGACAGAGGAGGAATATTATGTTCTGGGTTATCCAGTGCAAAGCCAAAGCCACAATTAGCTTAAATGAATGGCTTCACTGATACTGAACTACAATTAAATAGGTGAGACCAACTCTAAGCAAATGAGAAACATACTTCCTCCATTATTCAGCAGGCAAACACACTGCAGATGAAGCCTCACACACACACTTCACATCCTCTCTACCTTCAATTATTTAGCAAGTGGGAGTGGGTGATAATGTTCTGCACTCACACACTCCTCCACCATGCTGCTTCCACTGCAAATTAATAATGAAGCCTCCCAGTGTGTGTGTGTGTGTGTGTGTGTGTGTGTGTGTGTGTGNGTGTGTGTGTGTGTGTGTGTGTGTGTGTGTGTGTGTGTGTAGCCATAGTGGTCACTAATGCAGTGTGTGCCAATGTCTCGTCATGATGTTTTATTGATGAAGTACACACAAACTACAGTTTCTCAACATCAGATCAGAGAAAGACAAAGGAAATTACATTAAGTTATAAAGAATTCTGATTATCTTGTTCTATAAATCTATGAAGGGAAAAAATACATTAGATTAAAATGATGTCCCTACAACTCTCTAGAATCTCATTCAAGTATATTCCTCATGGGAATCTGGATAATAGACTCTGCCTATGGTGCTGGGGAGATGCATATTCCCACTGACAGCCCGAGGACACAGCTGATAGAAAATAAATTGGATAATATACTAAATAAAAACAAATGATGATGATTTAATACATATATTTTTTGAAGCTCTGAAGGTCAAGTTTCATTCTGTGTGGAATATGCATTCAAATAATGAGCAAACTGTGGCATCATGATATCAAACTAAACTCAAACTGGGAAACAAAGGGTCAGACCCAGCGTCAACAGCCAGCTGCTCTTAAGGGTGCAAAGATCCAACCTGTCGGATCAGTCACAGCTTGATTCTGACTTTTTGAAAGGATCAGGAAGGAGCTCTATATGAAATGAATAAATGTTTAAAGGTACATTTAGCAGATAGCCCACGTTAGCAAATACTGACTTGATATAATTATTTCATGCACTTTTTCAATCAGCACGTAGTTGAAATTTTGCACTTGTATCTGTTTAACTAATTAAAAGCTGAAGTAAATTTAAAAAAAAACATTATAGAAGATTCATACAACATTAGTTCAGAATGTCCATTTTGGTTTAACCATTTTAAGTCTGGGCCTATTTTGGGTTTACCTTTACATGCCATATTAAAAACATTTACCAAGCAGATATTTGGTATCTTCTTTCAGCACATTCCCTATATGATCATAAAATACATTTTTCACTTTTCACATACAATATCAAGATAGTGGCCCCAATAACACACAAGAAACATCATGTGATTTGATCACAGCGGCATGATCGGTGAATCCTGAGGGTTAAGAGATAAGAAATATATAAATTCTCACTCTCAGCTGATGCCCTGAGTTTACACGTTGGTATCAGACTAAACAAAAGTTGAATCAGTAAATCCTTATCTATTATAAAGTCCTTTAAAAGTCAAACATCAAGCATGCAAATCAAAAAAGTCCACACTGCAGCAGTAGGTTAATTCAACTGTTAATAATAAATAAATTCATTGCTCCGACTCTGCAGATGCTTCACCCCCTGCAGTGAGAAAAAACCCGGGTGAGCATTTGTGTAAGCTGCAGGTTTATCTTTTGAGTCACATGCAAGTCTACACCTATTGTGCAAACACACTGGAAGGCATTGCAACATAAAAAAAAAGTCTGATTAGGTGAGTCAAGCTCAAAGGCCTTATTTCAAGGAATCTGTGATAAGCTGTGAAACCAACTGTCTTTAATTTAGTGGGTTCGCTTTCTCACCTCTTCCTTTCACTGTTATTTTTCCTCTTTAAGCAGCAGTACACCTTTATTATTCCTCCCATCAACACTCCACTCGTTATTATTCCCTGTCCAGTGGTTCAAATTTGGCTCTTGTGACAGCAAACGAACAATCACATCCTAGTGTGTGTGGTTGTGTAGCATTTTGGGATCATGTGGCTGTCGTCAGCTGATGCCTTGTGCCAGGATGGGTTCTGAGCACTGACGTCCAAAGATATTCCACAGAGATATAGACCACTTCTCGTTGTATTTGTGTGTGTGTGTGTGACACCGAGGAGGAAAGGACACGGGGGAGGTAGATACACGTCATGAGGACAACTGCTGTTTCTTTCCGGAGAACCATGTTGTCTGAAATTACACCCATCACATTAATCAAAGCTTCCTCAATGTTGACCTGGCAGTTTGTGTTTTAGGTGACGGTAAACAGAAGAGTTGTAATCTGGGTCATTTGTCCACAATGAGCACACATGTCTCAGCTTTGAGCTCCTGGACATGACTCTGCTCCGCAGATATCATCTCAGTGACTCAAGAAAGAAGAGGATTAAGCCAACGTAGCTCCAAGAATATAGTGACAGAACTGTGTGTGACCAATGTGTGCTGACAATTGACATTTATAATCTATGCTACATAGTGATGCAATTCCATCCATCCATCAGTTATCTATGACGCTTATCCTTAAAGGTTTGCAGGGGTTCATTGGGAGCCAATCCCAGCTGACATTGGGTGAGAGGCAGGGTAAACCCCGAACAGGCAAAAAAAATAAAACATTCACTTTCACATTCACACCAATGAATATTTTAGAGCTGTGATGCAATGAATGATGTTTTGTTTAATGAACAGAAAGTGACTTTATGGATCTCTCTCTCCCTCTCTCCTCCTCCCTCTCTCTCTTGCTCTCTCTCCCTCCCACAGACACCAGAGCTCATCCCTATGTCAAACTGTCTGCTCAGCCACAGACATCCTCAGGCACTGACACACTAACGACCACATACATTCTTGGCATTTTCGCAACAGCCAATTAAGGCCCCCCCCCCCCCCCAAACTAGCATCTCTGGTTGCTCCACACGCCAGCTGAGGCAGTGGCTCTTTGCAGATTCGATATAAATTATCATTGCAAAATGTAAAGCTATAAAGCTGAGCACGGTGGCTGAGATTTTTCCGGAAAAAAACACATTTGATTCAGAGAGGAGGGCATGAAATGAAACCCCTCCATCAGCTTGCATTGCAACAGACATTAATTCAGACAGCGATGCAACACCCGCCCAGAGATCACATACCAGAGCAGCAAAGCACCAATGTCATTAAAGCTGCCGGTGGTGCAGCCTCTCTGAGGAGTCCTTTCTCTAAACAGCATGAGGAAGTCAGAGAGCTGCTGTGGACAAACACATACTCACACACACTTATATACACACGCACTTGAGATGCCAGATCAGGGTGAACACAGACTGGAATATACAAACAGTATAGAGTTTGTATAAGAGAGTTAATGATGGGAAAGAATACGGTTGACGATGACAAGAAATGAAGTAAGGTAATACTGGAGTTGGACCTAAGAACCACAACGATTGAAATGTTGATTGACAGTCGGATAGATCGATTAAATTTGTCTGCAAGAGTTATATTTACACTGAGCAGGTTTCATGAGTAAAATGTCTTCTGACACACATTTCGCAAACATCCAGAGGTTCATGTGAGCAAAAGCAGAAGCACACACACTCATTACTCACAGATATCTGGAAGACTTCCTGCGTGTCATCGAGCATCTGCACCCGTATGGAGACCAGCCTCCCGGGAGTCTGAGCAGGAGGATGCAGGCCCGGCTCCAGCGTGGACACCCCGAAACTTTCAGGGGCGCCCAGCCTCTGCCCGGCTGTGGACGTCCTGTCGGCGGGTTCAACCATGGCGTCGACGCTGCGGTGTGGTGCTTTCGAGCTGCAGGGACCTCTGTTTACGTCTGGGGAGGGGGGAAAGATAAAGAGCGCTAGTTATTCTCAAAATTTGGGGTTATGTCTTTTTATGTGCTTCAACGCAGCAAAGCCAACAATCTCACTATGTGATTTGAGGTATTTTTGATTTTTTGGCTTCTTAAATATACAGCAGGCTGGAGCAGTCAGGCATTTTCTCTAACACCCAAGCTTTTACATAGGCATGCAGCCTAAATAGAACCGTCCAGGGTGATAGTACATTTCTGTACACAGCTTCCTTGTAGGGTATCCCCGTATTACTTTTAAAGGCATTTGTTAAAGGTCTTTTGGGGTTTTACTGATGTATTTATTTCCACTAGTTAAAAACCCACTAACATCTGGCTTTTGTCTGCAGTGCAAATGGATAAAAACGGCGTTCAGTCCAAGGTCAAGTAGACACTCATTTTTAATTGGCTCAAGCTCCAATTGACAGTTAGTGAAGTCTAGATGCTGATGCTGCACCTTAACGTTATGTAACATTATGATACTATGTATGCTAGCTAATTTTGGTGGAACAGAGAAAAGAAATATTTCAAATGAAGATTAAAAGATAAAATAGGAAAGTCTTAGATTTAAAAGAAAGTAAGAGGCTGTGTTGTGGCAATGAGGGAACATTTGCCAGGAGAGAGACTTTGTGCTGAATTAGTTCAAGAAATATGCCAAAAAGTTCAGTCTGGTTTAAATTGGCTGTGCAAAATGTCTAAAAACCACAAGACATTCAGTCAGTGTGCACAGAGAAGCAGACGGACGTGTCTCACACTTTGCTAGACACACACATGTGCTCATTTCTTCCAGGTGAAGCACATGCAGGTGGGATTTACTGTGTTTCCTACAAACACCGAGCTCTGCTGAGAGACCAGTTCAGACTTGAATCAAAGCTCCACAAGTAGGGCAGATGAGATACGGCCTGAGAACACACAGATAGACACTCAGCACCCCCACCCCCCCTCCTCACCCTCCTCTTTCACACACACACATACAAAGTCTTTAGCGTCCCGCACTTGATAAACCTCAACCTCAGACAATAAATATCCTCTCAGACGCTCTGTGACATCAGGGCTGAGGAATGTTTTAGAACATTGGTCAGGGGGGTAAACGTGGGGATGAGGGTTACACGCTGCTGAGCTGCCCTGGTACACACAAAAGCACTAATTTAGATCAACAGTCGTACGATTTTACGCGTCTAAGTGCATTGGTGCAAGACAACGGGAATAAATACAAACATAAACCTGTTGGATTCCTTTTTCTTTGCTTTGTACGAGGTGAAAATCCTGTTTTATCTTCTGGTCAGTCACATTTGTACCTGTGCAGTCAATACATCTTATTACTCCTCATCAATAAACTGGTAAATCAATTAACCATTAGGGACCTGTTGGACATGTTGATTAACACCTCCTTGGATCGTTCTCTCCGTCCTCTGAGCAGCATCCATCCTCCTGATGGTGAACAATCAAGCTCGAGCAATACATCAATCGATATTGGCTTTGTATAGATGTAAGTAACAGCGGTGGCTGTCGCTACAGAAATGCGAAGTGAAAGGTCTTTTAGGTCAAGGTCAAATATGTGTTTCTCCTCAAGAGTGCACCATTTATTTTATGTGTTTATATAAAAAGAATAATCACGATAGGTCAATAAAGCCCCAAATTCAGGCCTCCCTAATCCATAGTGAGGAATAAGCCATTCCCTCTTAGTTCTAAATACTAAGGAGCAGATGGTTGGTGCAGAACATTCACCCTGTATGAGTGTTTCCCAGCAATGCATCACCATGTCCAGGGCCTGTTTTTCAAGAGCAAATAAAAGTGTATTATTGGATTAATGGGCCTGTCCGATTCAAGAGCCTCCTTCAGATGTGCCTAGGAGAAGAACCGCTTTCTTTTAACCAAATCTACAGAGTAAACCCGGTGTGTAATTTGTGGTAATCTGCCCACCATCCTGAAATCCACTGAGCGCATGGTCACATGTTGTCTGCGAGGCTGTGATGATGGGAGGTTTATGGTGAGGACAACTAAATCTGAAAATATTATAATAGCCAATTCAAATCGTGTTTGTGGATGAGGTAGCGTATTGAAGATTTATTTACCTTACACAGCGAATGGCAATGAATGAGATCATTACCAGTGAGCAATACAAACAGTGGAATTAGCTATCTGGCTAACCGGGTGTTTTCCTTCATCATACATTGAACTGGAAGTTATAGCAGAGACGAGCAAAGCCACACAATTAAAAGGTCAAAAACAAATGTCCTGATTTCTCATTGTGGATAATGTAAGTACACAAGTCAAAAAAATATATAATACAAGTCTAATTGTTTTACACATTTAATGAAGATTTGTTTAGTATTATATCTTTAAATTGAATATCTTACAAAACAAGACATTTTGGGCATTAGCACAGGACATTTCCACTCTGATAAATCAACAATGAGAATAGCCAGACTGTTGTGGTTAAAAGAACCAGAATGCCTTCAAGAATGCCTGAGTAGCCGCCTTTGACCTCAGTGTGAAAGTAGACAGATAACAAGGTCAGACGCCTTCTTAACAAAACATACACAAAGTTAAACATTGCAAAAAACTAGATTATCACTCAGTGGAGCAAACAAGGACCAACAGTCGCCTTGAATTCAATCACACACACTCATGATATCAATTCCTTAAATATACTTGATTTTTCTCATCAAAATCCATCCTGGGAAATGAGAGAAAAGGTCAAAGACCACTTAAAGTGAAGATATTGATTAAAAATAAAATCTGGATCTGCACCAGAATTGAATGGGTTTCTTTCATGACCCATCCTCCATCTTTCCACCAAGTTTTATGGTAATCCATCCAGTCCCTTTTGCATAATCCTGATAACTAACTAACAAACAAACCCAGGTAAAAGCATAACTTCTGTGGCAGAGGTAAAAACATAACAGCAATTTGTTTATCTTTCCCAGGGTGCTTTGCATCAGGTTATATAGAATTGACACAGGCATTACTAATCCCTCCACCTGCACACAAAACACCAGCACCTCTCTCTCCACCTCAGTGACAAAGACTGGAGCTTGAAACTGGAGCCTGGCCAAGGAAGTGACCTGACAATGAAAAAAGGGACCTGACATTCAGGTTACTCATTACACCTGTGGGAACAAATTTGTTCTCATGTGCCACTTCCTTACTGCTCTGTGCCGTCGTTTCCAGCAGTTTAGCATTTGCAAGTTTGTGCTGAGACACAGAGTTTGTCCTCCCGAGAGGTTCAGCCATATCAGAGCTGGAATAATAATTGTTTTTGAAATCTTACACTCGCTCACTTAGGGTTACCTGCTTGTTTTTGTCCCTGCTTGTTTTTGTCCCAGTGTTGCATTTCAAAGCAAAACAAGTGTGAACTCAGAGCCAGTTTTATGGCTCGACCTTATCATCCTTCGGGCGGGTGCCAATTACCCTGACACACAAGAGTAGATCACACTCTGCAGGCAGCAGACGTCTTCATTCTTTCGACACAAACACACACTTTTCCTTCATAAACAACGTTGAGAATAACACACAAGCTGGTAATTTAAAGCTCCCCCATATTTTCAATCTAACTAGGGTGAAAGTCTGGAGGCAGAAAAGTTTCATCGTCTCCTCAGTCGGGGCCGGGAGGGATTAAACATGGAGCTGTTTGAGCAAGAGCGGAATACAGAGCAAGCTGGTCACACGGGCACAAAGGAAGCTACTGTGGGAGCTTCCAACAGCGGGGCCTTAACTCAGCGGGACTGAGGCCTCTCAACCAGCCTTTGAACTGGTGTTAGTTGAAAGTTTCCCAAGGGTTTGTGAGAGGGGAGCCAGGCCCTGGGAATCGGATGTGAGTGTATGTGTGGGTGTGTACACAAGTGCATCCACAGAGAAAGATATTCCTAATCTGTGTTTTTTTGTAGTAAAACTGCATGTTGAAATAAAAATAAAAATAAGGTACAAAAATCTGACTTAAAAACAAAACAGTTCAATCGCATACAGACCGGAAAGTGTACTGGTTGGAAAACTGCAAAATTGACTGACTGTATCTATGGGGATGGCTACAAAAGTATTTGAAACCACAGAAACTATTCTACAAACTGACAATACCTAAACATGGGTGTGATGGATTTTGTTTGATATTTAGGTAAATATCTAAAAAATGCCTGTTATGAAGCTCAAGGAAAGGTCGAGTTTTTTGCACAAGTAATCTTAACTAAGAAGTAGGAAAAAGATAAATGTGTCTTTTAACACAAGTGTAACAACAGGACCTTGGATTTACATTGTATTCACCATGTATCTAACCCTAATGTCAAGGATGGATCCTTTCAAACAAGAAAAATAGCTTGAAAAGCTGAAATCACTCTGTGCCATATCGCACAATACACAACTAACAAATCCAAGCCTCAGCCTCAAACCGCAAAGTGGCTCCATCCATTGGCACACTGGGTTACTTGTTGCCATTATCACAACAGGCCGCTGACTGTTTACAATCTGACTCACCTGAAAAGAGACGCCCAGTGTCCACAGCGGCCCGACAAGCACAGGTGAGGAGGGTGAGATCGAGGCTACGACACCGCACGCTTACACCTGCGACCCCTGGCAGATCAATGGCTGCTCTTGGTGTGTGCGTGCGAGAGAGAGGGTGAAATTAATTCCACCGGCTCAGTGGCCGTGATATATCGCAATAGTGAACAAGCAAAAGCATTGAGATTTGGCAGATCCTGCTTTTAGACCTCGACACCTATGCTCCGCCAACCATTAGCAAAATGAAGTGCCTGGTCGTGGACGCCGCTTCCCCACTGACCCTGTACTCTGACCTCACGCCAAATGAGAGGAGAGGGGGTGCAGAAAGAGAGTGTGTCCCCCAGAGATCAATAAAGGAAAAGGGGATTGTTTCTGGCAGCTGACACCCTATAGGTGTTCTCCATGGGGGGAGGGAGGGGTGGTCAAGGTTTGCCTCCGACAATGCAAACCCGAGGGGGGGGGGCATACACAATCTAACATTCAGCTGCTTTGTCAACACCAAGATGAAGCACATTTAAACACAAACACACAGAGAGAGTACAGTTGGCAAAGAGCAGGCCCCTGAATGTAGGTTAGCAGAATAATCCTTTAGGCCAGAGCAAAGGTGTCGGTAGGTTAAGACATCCCTGTCCCACTCAGGACACTGTCCTCTTGACACCCTTTAGGACCAGAAACACTGACCATGCCATGGGGACCAAAGAAGCCTGGTCGCAGGATGCAAAAGAGAGTCTGTTTTGTTTCCTCTGTTATTATAAACACGTCAACAGTAACTTTAGTTAGGGGCTGGCTGGTTGGCTGGTTGGCTGGTTAGCTGGTGTGTGTGTGTGTGTGTGTGTGTGTGTGTGTGTGTGTGTGTGTGTGTGTGTGTGTGTGTACTGCTCAATATTAATGCTCATCATGGGGCGACGTCTTGACAATGACAGGCTCAGGCCATTGTGAGGTTATGAAAACACATCTGTGAGGAGCTGGAACCACCAACATGTATGTAGTTAACATGTAGTTTAGCAGCAGTGTGTGTGTGGTGAAGTTGGTGCAGGAGGATCAGCTGAAGAAGGAGGCAGATTAGTCAAAAATGAACAAGCTGGAATGGAAGCGAGCGAATGCGTAAAGAACATGTCACGAACTGTTGCGCAAAAAAGCCAAATCGTCTCTTTTACTTTTCTTCCTGAGTAGATCTCGTGTTGCGCTACATGCAGGGAAACACCGGAGAGGCTACGTGGAACCTCGCTCCACTACCCGGGTAGCATGGTTTCCTTACCCCGCGTTTGATTGTCGGTTGTCCCGAGGTGAGAGCGTCTGTGTCCGGACGCGCAGGCGGTAGAATCCCGGTGCTCGTATCCGGGAGTAGGTGAGTCAAAGCTGGGGAGCTCTCTCTCAGCTGGTCCGTGGAGAGCGTGCGGCGGCCATCGAGGCGACTGTGTGGAAACCGTGCGCGATTCCTCCTGAAACAATGAGAGACACACACACACACACACACACACA